AATTTTGAACACCCCCGCAGTCAAATAGGAGCAAAAAGAACGGCAGATGAGACGGAAACCACAGATAAAACCCAATATCGCCTTCGATGAGCCCCTTCCTGTTTTCTTTTTCATATGATTTTTCCACCATTGTGTTCACTATTTTATTTTCTACAGGTTGACTGAAGAAAAATGTTTAGCCGCAAAGGTGAGCCGACAGAGACGCCGCATCGAAGAATCCTACTGCCGGTAAGTTTTTATTTTTCGACTTTTTTCGGCCAACTAAGTTTTTCTAACCTATTTTCTCGCAAGGATGGATATAAAACCGGCTGAAACTGGCAAAAATTAACCGAAAACGGCTAGTCTGAGGCAAACCACCGCCAGAGCACTGCGGTATCGCTATGCTAGAATTTTAAAATTAGTCAGAAAAAGTTTTTAATACCGATTTTGGATTTTTGATGATATTTTTAGGTACGTGAAACGTATTTTTACCTCTACAAGAAAATTCAAGAAACTTGGGGACCGCCAATAAACGCAGTAAAAAGTTCAGTATTTCGAATACCGATTCGAATAAGAATCCCTCACTTTATTTCCTATTATGAAATTGAAGTCTAATTATCAATAATACGGTATTTTACGTAATTTAGAAAGTTTCGATAATTAATTATAGGTTATTAATGGAAATAAAACTGATTATTTATTATTGTTGTCCTGCTTAACCGATTGTTTGATTTTACAGCTTTAAATGTATGATAATATATTAGAATTGGTAAAAGATTCAGTTGTATTTTCTTAATGCATATATTGTTTGTCTTGCGTTGATTTACAGTTAAATTATGAAATTGAAAATTAAAAGTAAACAGAAAATTGATTGGTAAAGTAAATGAATGAATGGTAGTTTTACTGAATATCTTATGAGATGGTGGACGGACCGGGTACATAGGGAACCCTACCGTGAACGTCGCCTCATACCGGACGGGGTACCTAGGATTAGTATTTTTGGCGTTCATACTGGGCAGGGTATAGGGATGACCGGTTAGTTGACAAGGTTGGATGTTGGTTTGCGTGTAGTGGGACATCTCTATGGACCCCCATGAATACTAGTAGACAAATAAAAATGGAAAGTTGTTATTCTTACTTACTTGAATATGAGATTATGATGTTGTTGAGCTATTATCTCTACAGGTTGGTTTTGAAAATCTCGCAACGGTAAGTATGCAATGAATAATTTTATTTATAATAAATGAATTTAGTTAAATTAAAAGGTTCATTGGTTATTTTTATGATTTTTACCAACCTTTATTGTAATGCCCACAAATTTTATAATTTTTACTATCATTATTATTAATTTTTTTATTTATTTTATTTAGTTTATTTTATAATTTTTGAATTTTAATTGATTTATTTAATTTAATTTAATAAAAATAAAAATAAAAATAATAATAATGATAAAATTGGATAAAAATATTATTTGGATTTAATTGAAATTGATTTTGGGAAAAAGGGGTGAAAATTAGGATTCTGGGGGTATTTTTTAAAATAAAATCGGAAACCGGATGTCAAAACGCAATTTAGAAAAATTGTGCCCCGTCAGCGCCACGTCAGCAGCCACGTCAGCGGCCCAGCCAGCAGCCCTGGCCAACCAGGACCTGCCGCATGGCAAGACCACGTCGACCCGGGAACGAGCCACGTGGGTGATCCGCGTGCGCGCGATCGGACGGCCCAGATGCGTCCCCGCGCGCACGGACGACCCAGATCAAGCGTGCGCATGGACGGCCCAGATCAAGCGGCGCACGAACGGCCCAGATGCACGCGCACGGATTGCCCAGATGCACACGCACGGATGACCCAGATTCAATCAAGTACGAACGGCCCAAATTTAATCAAGATGGACGGCTGTGATTAAAAGACAAAAGGGTATAAAATAAAACCCCCACACCAGACCACAAAAACCCTATCCGCCTGCCCTCACCAGAGAAGACGAACCAGACGCCGGAGGAGTCGGCCGCCGCCACCCCGCCGCCTCACCGGGGAGTTTTTAGATCGCCGATCGAGGTA